GTCTATTCGTAGAGAAAAAAAAAAAGTTCAAGGGGGTGTATCCAATTCAAAATTTTAATGACTTTTATAGAATTTAAAAGTTGGGAGATATTTTACCCCAAAAAAAAAGTTTGGAGATATTCAATTTAGATTTTTAAAGAGTTTATAAAAGTTCAGTGATATTCAATTGTGAAAAGTTTGGTGGTATCCAGTTGTGAGTTTTAAAATCAATGTAATTTTTTTGGGAAATATTTTTGCTCACCACTTCAACCCAAGGTGTACCTTCGCCACCCTTCTCAACACTTGATACGTGTTCATGGACCTAATCATAGTTCAACTCTTTGCTTTATATTTATGAAACCACGGTTATGCTTATGGACATGTGTCAGGTGTTGAGAAAGATGGTGAGGATACACCTTGGGTTAAAGTGGTGAGCAAAAATGCTCTCACATTATTTTGTGTGTAAATAATCTAATGTACCTTTCGTTTTGGTTGCAAACTAATCAAAACAATTAGTTTACGTACCTGAAACGAAATTGTGAACGCTAATTCAACATCAATAATTTTTAAAAAAATACAATTTACGAGTTCATAACCATCAAAATGAAACTTAGACAGAAGTCACAAAACTATGAGCAAAACTATATGGGGATAATTGAATCCCAAAAAGGATTTTGAACTGAGATTACGTCCAAAGCAAAACCAGTTTTTGCACATATTTTATCAAATACAAAAACCCGATTGTTTTATTTCACACCTTATAATATTAAAACCAACTTTTAACATTATGTTCTTTGTCAACTGAAGTTGTTACGAATAAACTTCTAAATTATTGAAGGAAGTCGGTCTAATTTTATACACAACTTGGATCTTCCTAAATTAATCCAACTTGTATACATAAACACACATAAATATAGGAAAATAAGTGTCAAATAATTCTTAATGTAACGGTACTTCTCTTCTCAATATTAAAAAAACGTGTTTACTTACTTCGCATAGCCGGAACAAAATGAAACCATCAGAAAATAATTATCATGGGACGAGGTAGGTTACTTTTTAGGATTAACTTGTCCACACAACAGTAGTCCTGAATTGCTCCAAATAGATACTAGAAGGGTGGAAAAAACATGGGTTTTTTCCTTTGGCTGCTAAAGGAATCGTACTTGGTACCTGGTACTTGGGATAGCTTTGAACCCTTCAAAGTTAGAAGAAGTTCATCGAACGCGGCCAAGACTTGACCACCAAGTCAAAAACGACTGCCATAAACCATTCTCTGTGCATAACATCCCCAACACAAACCAAAAAATTAATTTGAACACGCAAAAACTCAGAGAGAGAGCCACCACCAATTTCTGAGTTTCCGATCATTTCCATAGCCTCCCGGAAGAAATGAACGACTTGCTCTCAAGATCCTTCTCCGGGGCCTCGCCGGACCACCATGTCATCGAAATGACCCCTTCGAAAGGCGACGACCTCGGCAAGTTCTTCCAGGACGTCGAGGCTGTCCAGAGCGAGCTCGACGAGCTGCAGAAGCTCAACAAGAGTCTTCGGAGCGCCCACGAGCAGAGCAAGACCCTCCACAACGCCAAGGCTGTCAAGGAGCTCAGAACCCGCATGGACGCTGACGTCCAC